TTTTCTGTACAGGCTGTCTTTGAACTATGATCCTCAGATCTCAGACCCATGAGTATCTAGGATTATAGGCACGAGCCACCGGAAACCAGTTGTTTTGGTTATTATTGAGATAAGTTCTTGAATTTTTTTCAGGCTAGCACTGCAAAATGATCCTCTTGAGTACTCTGCCTTCAGAATCGCTCATATTAAAGTCATGAGCCACTATGGTGTCTGGCCTTGTTCCTTACCTTAAATGAAAATGCTCAGATCTTTTTCTTTGAGCTTGATGTTTTCTGGGGGTTGTTCCTAAATGATGTTTATTATATCTAGGATGGGTCTTTTTTCTTTCTAGTTTTTTGAGTTTGTTTCATCATAGAAAGGTATTGACTTTTGTGAAATGCCTTTTCCACAGCATGTTAAAAAGAATTTATATCATCACCAAATGGAATTTGTTGGTTGACTGATATCTACACGTGTAATTACTCTACATTTTGTACAGCTAAAAGTTCTGATGTAATACAAATACCAATTTTTGAAGTCTGAAGCAGAGAAAAAATTTGGAAAGGTCAAAAGAGAAAGATAAAACTTGGTGTTCTTTAGGGAAATTGATGAATGTGGCTTCATGGTAATGGCATCTGAGATGAGGTGGGAATGGGGCTTGGCACCTTTGGATGTCAACTTCTCACCTTATATCTGGTTGCTGAGAAAGTTCTCTTTCAGTATACTAATTATCTCCTAAATCTCCCTTCTTTCTCCTGGCCCTGGTATGATGTACCTAGAATATTGGAGTAGCTTTCTATCTGGTGTTGTGACATCAGTGTCTTCTCTGGGACTCCTGTTATTGTAACTTCTCATTATTAAATGTATCTGATATTACTGCTCTGCACATTCTTAATCTGATGCTTTCGTGGTAATACCTTACTTGACACATCATTAAGTACTTTACTAAAGAACTTAATCTCATTTTCTGAATTCACTGTATCTCACTCTGACCCATCCACTTCTTTCCTTTGTTATTACTGACCTGTTCATGGTTCAGTAGACATGCCTTCCTTTTTCAGGTTTTTGTGCTTTTGTTTATGTTCTGTTTTGCCTACATATGATGTTGCCTCTCTCCTTTCATAGGTAACTGCAAGCTAATCATTCATCATTTGGTGAACTATCTATCAACTGTTGGAAAACCTGGAAAACTTCTCAGAGGAAAAATTTCTTCTTTGTTGTACATTCTGACATATTGTCCTGACTCTTTGTAACATTTTTTACATTGTTCAGTAATGTAAAACATTGTTCAGTGAGCTGTAAATCTTTTTTTGCAAAGGAATCATATCTTCTTCAACCTTATTTCTATGAGTTCCAGTGCTCTTAAAAAAAATCTACCAAAAGCCAGGCACCATTATAGTATGTCTGTAATCCTAGCTACTCAGAGGCTGAAATCTGAGGATCACAGTTCAAAACCAGCCCAGGCAGAAAAGTCTCTATCTCTAAGAAGTGGAAGTGGAAGTATGGCTTAAATGGCAGAGTCAGCTTTCAGTGAAAAAAGCTAAGTGAGAGCAGGAGGTTCTGAATTCAGGCACCAGAACCACACCAGAAAACAAAGCAAATGAAATATGAAAAGACACAGATTTGTTGGATTACTGATGAGTATCCTTTTTTCTTCTTTTTTTGGAGGGGAGGGGGATTGGTCCTGGGTTTTGAATTCAGATTCTTGAACTTTAAAGTACTCTACTGCTGAACCAATGTTCATCATTCATATAAGTATCTTACATTTTTGGGTTTATCTCATTCCAACTTGTGTAAAATGTTTTTGTGTACTTTTTTTTTCCACTACTGAAAATATTGTTAATTAGCATCTTCAAAGGATAGACAATGTAAAGCAATTTTACTCTGAAGCTTTATTTTTTATTAGATCAAGAACATTGACCTTCACACTCGTGATACATTAGAATGAAAACCAAGGGAATATATTAATGATGTCCACAAAGCCCAAGCTATGATGGCAATTCTATATACCTTCACCAGTAGGTCAGCTAGAGCGACTTATTTCTGAAGTGAGGGGTCCTAGTAGGGTTGGCACGTGCCAGCCTTCTGTTTTCATTTGCGTTCATTGTTGCATATTAGGACCTTGGTGTGTTGGCCATGGTTGGGGAAAAACCATATGATGCCTAGATTGTGCTTTATCATAAACTGTATGGTGTTACTTAGGACATGTTTTTTTTAGGAAACTGTAACTTATGGAAAGAGTGGGAGAAGCCAAGTATTATGGTCAAGCATCCGTTACCACTTAGTTACTAGAAATTGGAAGTGAAGGGTTATGAGTGGGTGACTTGGCTGTTTTCTGAACCTGTCTCATGTGATTGGTTTGGCTTGATGTCTGTGTATTTTGAGCAGATTAAGTTCTATGGGAGTCACATTACACATCAGGCCTCGTGTTTATTTAGCCAGCTCAGTGATAATCTAAATATAACTTGTTCAGTTTTTGTTTTGTTTTAGTTTCATACTATCCTTAATATCACAAGATAAGAAAATCGTAATGGTGATCCATTATTGTGTATTCCCTAATAATTTGGAATATATACCCAGTACTATTATACTACCTTTAATGTGAAGATGAAAGCTTTGCTATCAAAAAACGGAAAGAAAATAGATTTTTTAAAAAGCATGTTTGTTTGTTTGTTTATTTTGTCAGTCGTGGGGCCTGAGCTCTGGGCTTGGACACTGTCCCTCAGCTCTTTAGCTCAAGGCGAACACTCTACCACTTGAGCCACAGCACCACTTCCCGCCTTTTCTGCATATGTGGTGCTGAGGAATTGAACCCAGGGCCTCATGCATGCAAGGCAAGCACTCTACCACTGAGCCACCTTCCCAGCCCTAGATCTTTTTTAAAAGGGGCAGCTCCTTTAGCTTTTCTAAAAATTTTAGAAAACAATTTTTTTTTTGTTTGTTTATATAGTACTGAGGAATTGAACCCAGGGCCTCATGCATGCTAGGCAAGCACTCTGCCACTAAGACAGATTCCCAGCCCCCAGAAAATAGCTTTCTTATTATCCAGAAAATAATTTTGTATCATACCATTTTAACTTATATTCTAAACAAAGTCATTTTTAGGGAGTCAGAACCATCATTGACTGATTTATATATTAAAACTTTGTATAGGAACATTTTTTCTTCTTTGTGAGATCATATTGTATATGTGTTTGAAATGAAAATAATTCACTTGTTGGATTTTGTGTTAGTGTTAAATCATGGTAACATTGTAAGTTAGATTTACTCATCTTGTACTAAATGTTTATGCTACAAGGCAATGGAATTGAGTCTTCAGCGTGTACAATGTGACTTACGATGATATTATGGTGCTGTTTTATCTAGTCTGTGGGCCTTGAATAAAAGAACACTCAGAATCCTAAGCTTACTTAATGATCATGCTACGTTCATCTATCTGGAAAGCAGTTAATGAGTCATTATTTTTTTTGGCATTTTAGTGTTTTTCTTTTTGAGATTCAGTATATATACCATATAAATATGAGCCTCTGGTTATTTCAAAAGAGAAAAAGGTAACTGGATTTATTAAGAAGAAATAAATGCCAGCATTCTGTTTACAGTTTTTCTTAGCTGAAAGTATTAGATCAGTCTGTTAGTTTATTGAATTGTATTATTTACAATACTTGGATATATGTGTGAAAATATCCACTCCACATTCTAGAAAAATGCTAAACATGAAATTTGTTTTTTATTATTATACTGTTAGAATGTGTGTGTGTGTGTGTGTGTGTGTGTGTGTGTGTGTGTGTGTGTGTGTGTGTGTGTTTTTTTTTTTTTTTTTTTTTGTTTTTGGTCAGTCGTGGCTTTTGAACTCTGGGCCTGGGTGCTGTCCTTCAGCTCAAGGCCCACTCTACCACTTGAGCCATAGTACCACTTCCGGTTTTCTGGTGGTTTATTGGAGATAAGAGTCTCATGGACTTTGCTGCCCAGGCTGGCTTTGAACTGCATTTCTCAGATCTCAGCCTTCTGAGTAGGATTATAGGTGTGAGCCACCAGTGCCTGGCTCTCTCTCTATTCTCTCTCTCTCTCTCTATATATATCTAACATTTGTGCCAGTCCTCGGGCTTGAATTCAGGGATGCTGTCTTAGAGCTTTTTTGCTCAAGTCTAGGTGCTCTACCACTTAGCCCACAGCTCTACTTCCAGCTTTTTGGTAGTTAATTGGAGATAAGCGTCTCACAGACTTTTCTGCTTGGGTTGGCTTCGAACTGCAGTCCTCAGATCTGTCTCCTGAGTAGCTAGGATTACAGGTGCCTGGCTACACTGTTAGACAATTTAATGGGACTTCTAAAAGATTTAGTATTTTTAGTTGGTGCTGTCAGTAAGAATTTTGTTATGTGCAGTGCACAGTTCAGATAAGGATTTGCATGACTATTGTTTAGGCTGGGCTTGAGATTTTTATAGAACGATGTTAGTAGGTGGAACAGAATCAGGGCCCTCCTCTTGTGACCCTCTGAAATGGTTTGGTGACTGTTTAATTGCTGTTCAGGTGTGGGAAGTCATATTTCTGCACTTTTGAGAAGGTGGTCTTCTATGCCTTTCCTTCCTTATCAAGCTTCCCAGTAGTGGTCATTTTCCTCTCAGGATTATTAGGCATTCAGGGTCTTAGGGAAGTGTGCTTGATAAGGATATAGAGCACTTACCTGTTCAAGGTTTTGTGTTATCTTGGTTTCTATGATTACAAGAGGGAATGGAATCTTGTGGTAGAGGATCCATTCCTGCTTCTGTTTAGCTGCCAGTGCTAGCAGGTACATTTATTTAAAGCTGTTCCTCCTTGCACTCATGGTTTCAGATAATAGTGTCTAGTTTTTTGGTTGTTAATGTCTGAATTACTGGAGAGTGCAGTCGAGTTACTGTTTTAATAGAACTCAAAGTAACAAGTATAATCACTCCTATAAGCCTTTTTTTTTCTCCCAATATCTTGTATTTGTCATAACATGCCATAAATTTGTAAAAGAGAATATTCTTACTATTCTTTGACAGACCCCTTATCCCTCTGGACAGAATGCAGGTCCAACCACATTGGTATATCCTCAAGCCCCTCAAACAATGAATTCACAACCTCAGACCCGTTCTCCGGTAAGTAAGCGGATGTATATTCTAGAAAATATTCTCAACCTCAGTTTTGTATGTATTAATTATATAGTTATTTTTGGAAAATTGATGTATTTTTTCTGAACTTTGGAACTTTGCTTCAAAGATGTCATTCTTATTAATTTATTATCACTATTGATTAGAATTATATTACCTTACACATAGGAATAACTTAATATCTTATTAACTCAAACTTATTTAGAAAGAAGAGAGGCAGAAATTTTGTTATTTACCTTTCTGAGGCATGATTTCTTTTAAAAGTGTCTGGTTGCATTCAAATTTACTTTTTTCTAGCTGTTGATGTGTTTAATACTTAATGTGTCTTAATACTGTTTAAAATTCAAAAGCGTTAAAATAAACAGTGATTTTAAAAAGCAAACCGAGTTTTAATTAAACCCTCAAATTCCAGTGGTTTGGGAGGTAGTATTTTTGATAGTGTCACTAAGTCAGTCTAAACATTTGACAGTGTGATTGAATGCTTGATACATGCTAAAGGTATATTAATTTCTTCAAATGGGAACTAAATTCTCATACAAATGTAAATGCTCTCATCTTCTTTGTTCATCCTTCATGTGGACTGCAATAAGTACTGAGAATGTACTCAAGGTCATTGGTCTGTTTCACGAGTGTATACTGGCTTCAGCTTCCATCCTTTGACCGTCGTTTCCTGCCCTGCATGATTAGCTTTGGCTAGAAGGTGCTTCTGTAACATCTCTCATTGTATCTCACATCCTTCTTTGTCCTTAGGTCTGTGTATTCTTCCGAATACAGGCATCTTTGTTTTGTCCCCAACTCTGCCTATTTATTTTTGCCTAGCATACAGGACTATTTCACTGCATTGATTCCTGTTCATTTGGTTTAATGCATGAATTTTGAGTTGTTGCAACGTACCAAAGACTTGCTCAAAGATCTAGGAGACAATAAATTGAAAGAAAAAAAATGTACTATCCTTCTTATTCTCTTCTTGTCTTCCTTTTCCTTGTTACCCTCTTCTCTAATACTTGTTCTTAGATTCTGGTTCTCTCCATAGGAAGGAGGAACCATGTCAAAGACAAGGGACTTTAGTCCCAAGTTGCCTGTTTGCTTGTCTCTCTCTCTCTCTCTCTCTTTTTTTTCTTTTCTTTTTCTTTCTTTTTTTTTTTTTTGCTGAAATGGTCAACACAATGTCTGATGCAATGTTCTGAGAGTGGTTTGGGGATGTGGACACTTGACTACTTGGAATGGGTCTGAGCTCTTAGCTGGTCAGTTTAGATAGGTCAGATTCATTAAACCCGAAACATGGTAAGCTCTTACTGTAAAAAATTCTGTGGCCTTCTTACCGTCCCCACTCCCCTCCTTTTAATTATTGGGCAAAAAACAAGATTTAAATTTACATGGTTAGAACTGGCGCAAAACCTGACTGAAGAGCTGCATCTCTAAACCAGTTTTTTTGACAGCCCAGCAGAACAGTGCCAATACATTGCACAGACAACTGGAAGAGGAGGAAGGTTTTGGAACAGACTCCCGTTTACAGGTCCTTGGCTGGAAGAGGCTGGATAAAATACTGCATTGTAAGCAATATAACAAACTGTACTTCTTGTAGGCAGTGGTGCCTCTGGCACTCATTATTTTTGACCACATCCACTTATTGGCTGATGAAATGAATTGATTGCTTCTTCTCTAAAAGTCTAACCTACATGGCAGTTTTTGCCAGACATAGTGGGGAAAAGAATAACAATTGGGTGGGGCTTCTCTATTGGGAATTAGACAGGAATAATTTGGGGTTTAGGTTTTTCTTATTTTAAATCTGAAGTTGGGATATCCCTTTCAGAAAAATTTGAATTTGAAAGATGATTTTCTAGGCTTCTTTCCCCCCTTTCTATTTTATAATTGAATATCAAGGGGGAATTGTCTGTAGTTGTCAGCCATTTTTTTCTGTGGTCATAAACTCTTCAGATACTATCCTTTATGCATTTTTGCCATCTGCTCTGCTAGTGACCATTACCCACCCGCATTACTAAAAACTGTACATTTAACATTTCATTACATACCTCAAAACAAATGCAAGACTAGCAGACTGAAGACTACTCTTGCTTATTGTTTTGGGTCTGATATCCTTTATTTCATTTGTGTTGGTACTGGGAGGGTGAATTTGGGATAAGAAGCTTGCCAGGATTGGACATCCCAAGTTGCCATGGTCTAGTCTCATCCATCCCATAGCTGTCCCAAATGGCGGGGAGAGGTAAAGAGTTGTATTCAGGAAGGGTCCATTCCTGTGGCTTTGTAGATCAGCAAAAGCTTACTCCATTCTATTTCTGCATTAATGGGCCATTGGCAATTGCACAGTTGAGGCTTTTCTGTTCTTCCCTGGACAGCTGCCTTTGCAATCCAAGTGGCTTCAAATGATCCCTCCCTCCTTCAGATTTTCTTTGTGCCTGTATTCTCTTTGATATTTAATATCTTCTTAAATTCATAGTGTAGAAAAATCTTGTTAAAAATTTAATAATATGCTGATGAAACATGCCAAATAAGCTACCTATCTGTTCCATTTTCTTATTGTGCTGCAACTCTTGAAAGAACTTAATTTTAAATGGCTTGTGAAAAATAGTGAAGCTATTGAAAACTCAATTGGGAGAGGGAGACAGTTTGCTTTTTGCAGTAACCTGTTACTGGTTATTTTTATATTTTGTGGTGCTAAGTGCCAAGTTACATCTGTGTTAAGTTGGCCATGCTCAGGTACCAACTATGCACAGAAGTGTGAGTGAGAGAGTGGGTGGGTGGCATTAACATTGGACCCAAGTTCATACAAGGCTGCTTTCTTTATATCTATAGTCCTCAGCATTTTAAAGACTTGCCTTTTTAAGAAAAGAAAACAGAAATAAATGATTTTCTATTTCATTATGAGCCAGCAGCGACTACAGTTTGTTCTGTTGCTTACAGCTACCCACAAGATTAAGGCTGTTGTCATTCCAAATAAAATATTCAATAGCCAATGGTGACTAGTGCAAAATAGACTAGGGTATTTTCCCCAAGGGTACTTTCCCACTAACTTTTCCTTTTTGTTTTTTACATACATGTATAGTTTCATATGATAGCCCTCTTGTTCATAAAAAGTTACCTTTGATGGAGCATTCCAAATAGATAGAGTTTTAATTTTTGTAATAGAGCCGTGGAAATGGGACCTTTCTGTGGAACAGTGATAAGACAGGTACTGCTGTACTCAGGTTACTTTTTTAACTAGTCTTTCTCTCCCATTTTCTGCAAAAGTGTCATGAACAAATTTCTCACTTTCTTACCAGCCCTTACTTTCATGCCACATGAGTGGTTATTGCCAAATCTTGAAACTTGATTTCCATAGTAGAGATATAATGTTGTCTTCTTATAACTGGAAAACTGAAAATGTAAGCTCTCAGGTTTCTTTTTAAGAGAAAATTTTCTGTGTGAACCATCGCGGCCATTAGTCATCATTTTGAAAAACTGTGTTAAATATGATGGCGAGCCTGTCACACCATAAGCATACCAGAGGTCATCAAAGTCCTTTTCTTTATTTAAAAGCAATTGGTGACCCTTTAGCTTTGAAGATGGATTCTTGACAGATGTCTTCTGTGTCTTCTACATATTGTCTTGTGCTCTACTGCAGTTTGTTGAAAACTTTTAGTATAAAATAAAGGTCATTGGGAAAATTATTCTTAATCTCCTGCAAAATCATTTTGCACATAACTTAAATGCTAAGCATGAAGAGTTGTTTTTTAAGTTGCTCAGCAGTCTAATTCATCTGTAGTGGTAAGGCTACAGAAGGAATGTGGGCTATATAGAAAGTAAAACTGAAGATACATACTTTAGCTCCTTAATATGTTAAATAAAAACCTTATATGGTTTTCATTCAAATCTACTGTCTAAATTTTCTGTTTTTTAAACTATTAAAAGTGTGGTTAACATGATAATAGTTAATATATATGAGTAGCTAGTATATGGTCCTATGTGTCCTGATATTTTTCTGTCCTAGAGCTTTGATATTAAAAAAATACATAAATGATAAAGCATTTTCTTCATTCCTGGTGAGCAGCAGCATTGTATTACCAAACTCAGAGTACTCTGTGATTTAGCTGAGGAGTCTTTTTTTTTTTTTTATTTCTAGTATCAGATAGCAAGTGTTTTACCCTTATCTTATGAATAGAAGTTGAGAACTGACATTTCCTCTCATGCCTATAATAGTATCATTTTGGTTAATCATGTTAGAAACTGATGCTCTTTATTAGTGGTTTGCTTTGATGTGCCTGGTATTAAACTTTATTAGCTAATTGCACTTAAACATAAGCATACTCTCATACACAGGCAATGAAGATAAATATTAAAACTTCACATTTATGACTGAGATAAAATCCTGTTTTAACTGAAGAAAATTTGCAATCTTTCATGTTACATTCTTTGTTTCCTACTAGACATAATTATGTCCTGGCTATTTCATGTATGTAAAAGTATTTTTCATGTCCTCTAGCTGTATCAGTTACATACAGCATACTCGGTTTTCCTATTTGTCTTAAGGTAACAACTTAGTGGTTGGAACTATCTTTTGCCTTATTTTAGGGTTTTATTTATTTACATGAAAATATCCTATTAGAGGTAGGCATCCTAGGGTGCCTAGCAACTCAGCTGTTTTTCTACAAGCTGCTAAATGATAAAGTACCTCTGTAGTAATGTTAACCTGTTGAATCTTAGTACCTGTCTGTCACTGTCCTGCAGCAAAGCTTTGACTGTTTTGTGTTTTTATTTTCTTGTGGGTTTTTTTTCTTTTGACATATTGTGTGACATTTTGGTTTTTGTTGTGGTGTTTCTGACTCTTTGTGCCTTTCCTTTTGTGTTTGTTTTCCCTCCTTTTCTCAGTTTGCAGCGGGGCCTCGACCTGCCCATCACCAGGTACTGTACTCTTGCCCCTTCACTCTCACCCTTAATAGTAGATGGGGCTGTAGTAGCTGCTGACTCTTAGAATGCTGCCACCCTATGGAGCCATACATACTCCTGGTCAAGAGTAATTTCTGGGGGCTGGGAAGGAGGCTCAGTGGTAGAGCGCTTGCCTTGCATGCCAGAGGCCCTGAGTTCGATTCCTCAGCACCACATAAGCAAAAAGAAAAAAGCCGGAAGTGGCGCTGTGGCTCAAGTGGTAGAGCGCTAGCCTTGAGCTGAAGAGCTGAGGGATAGCGCCCAGGCCCAGACTTCAGGTCCCACAACCGGACCCCCCCCCCCAAAAAAAAAGAGTAATTTCTGGCTAATACCTAGAATTCAGTTCATTTTGTCTATGTATGTTTACTGCATTTTGTTAGTAATAATCCTATATGCTTCTGTTTATAGCCCAATCTAAAATATGGTGGTTTTATCCTCCCAAAAAAAGGTTGCTTTGAATTTAGACAACATTGGAAATTTTCAAGTATATTAAGATTGCTTTGAATTTAGACAACCTTGGAAATTTTCAGGTATAATTAAGCCCTTACTGATTTTGGAATTCCAAGTACTAAGGTTAACTGAGTGGAGCAGGCAGCATTCTAAGAGTTTTCTGTTAACATTCAAAATAGCCTTAGTTCTCTAAACCACTGTTAATCTACTAATTTAAGTCTAATAATAAATTAACAGCAATATATACTCATTTCTTACATATAACTTTATTCTTAGGATACATAGAAAATAGATACCTTATTTAAGTTTAATATTTTTAGCCTCTTTTTTAAAATGAGTATTATAGAAATTAAAATTTCAAAAGTGTTTTCAATACTATGTTACTTAGGAGGAATCTACTAGAAATGACAGTATGTATGAAATAGATACAGTATCTGCCACAGGGCAGCGAGACTGGGACACCTTCCTTCTATGGGTATTCTCCTAGTGTAGTAGAAAGAACCTAGTTGTTTCTTTTTTGTTGTTGTTGGTCATGGAGCTTGAACCTCAGGACCTGGGTGCTGTCCCTGAGCTTTTCTGCTCTAGGCTTGTGCTCCTCCACTTTGAGCCATGGCTCTACTTCCAGTTTTTTGGTGGCTAATTGAAGACAAGAGTCTCAAGGGGACTTTTCTGCCCAGACTGGCTTTGAACCACGACTCTCAGGTCTCAGCCTCCTGAGTAGCTAGGATTACAGGTGTGAGCCACTCATGCCCAGCTAAGAACCTAGTTTTTGATCTGACAGATCCTGGGTTCATATTTACCAGTTCTGCTGTGTGAACAGTTATAATTAAATGTCTATTTCTGAGCTTATACGTAAATTACAAATAAAACAGGGTTAGCACCCCCTACGTTAAAAGGTACAAGGTAAGCAAGTCAGTAAGTGATAGCTGTTGTATCATTGTTAGGCAAAATTTTAATGTAGGAAAAAATAAGAGAAATGTAAATACTTGTCACATTCAAGACTTGTATTACTGGCTAAGAGAATATTGCTTAACTTAATGCTTTCATTGTCTGAATGGTTTACTATGAGACTCTGTTTCTTAAGCCATAGCCTTTCCAGTTTAGAGGATACAGAGGCCTCCAAATTCTCAGGTCTTTGCAGGGAAACTAATAGGTGGCTGTATGGAGTGGATCCTTTAGATTTGATAAGGAAACAAAACTCAAGGATTTTTTTTTTTAGGTTTAGGAATACTGTGCAACGTTGTAGGAAGGTTGGAAAGTCCCTGGATAAATTATTGCTCTCAGCTTTAGTTTCTTACCTGTAAGATGGAGAAGTCTTGAAAAGTGAAAATGAGATTAAGTGATTGGAAGAATGAAAATTCAGGATGTATTACTACTACTAAGAATATGGACACAAACACTTTTCAGTGATTTTACTTGAAAAAATTTAATCAGCGTCATAGAGATGGTTAAAATATAATCCAGGGTCAAGCCAAATACTCCTAAGAGAGAAAGCTGGAGAATCTCTGTTCAAGAAGAGGAGTCAAGGAGCTGGGAAGGTGTCTCAGTGGTAGAGTGCTTACTTGCATGCATGAAGCCATGGGTTCGATGCCTCAGCACCACATAAGCAGTAAAAGTTGGAAGGTGGCACCGTGGCTCAAGTGGTAGAACACTAGCCTTGAGCTGAAGAGCTGAGGACAGTGCCCCGGCCAGGGGTTAAGGCCTCATGACTGACCAAAAAAAAAGAAAAAGAAAAAAGAACAGGAGTAAAAGAAATGATTTGTTGTGAATTAAGAGGAATTAGAGGGAGAATTAAAGCAAAAAAAAAAAAAGTATAACTCAGGTGCTCATCAGCTCATGCCTGTAAGCCTAGCTGCTCAGGAGACTGAGCTCTGAGAATCGTGGTTCAAAGCCAGCCTGGGCAGGAAAGTCTGTGAGACTCTTATCTCCAATTAACCACCAAAAAGCCAGAAATAGAGTTGCAGTTTAAGCGGTAAAGCTATAGCTTTGAACAAAATAGCTCAGGGACAGAATCCAGGACCTGAATTCAAGCACAAGGAGCAGCACACATGTGCACATGCATACATGCACCACAGTAAGTTTTTTTGAGCTCTCTGGTATTAATATCAGGGCTTTCATTTATTTTTAGTGTTTTAATCTTCAAATGGTTATACAGTTTAACATGTCTGTCAGTGTCCATTGCTTTGTGATCATAGTCACTCTTCTTTATTATTCTCATTCATCTCCAAACTTAAGAATTGTTTTTTTAACTGATGCCAATCTGGGGCTTGAATCAAGGACTTGACACTCTCACTTGGTGTTTTGCCTAGTGGTTGGCACTTCGTACTTGAGCTACACCTCCAGTTCCTTTATTTAGTTATTTAAATACTTTTTCTATTACCAGGGCCTTGTAGCTTGCTAGGCTAAATTATCTACTGCTTGAGCCACACTCCTTGCCCTCACTCCCTTTGGCTCATATTAATGGTGGTGCTTACTATCATAAGGGTCTTTTTGGTTGCAGTAGAATCTGATTAACAGCCAGCCACAAAGTATAATCTTCCCGATGTCTTGCTTTACCAAGTACTTTGGATTAAAAGTGTGAGTCATTATTCCTGGCTCAACTGAATTCTTTCTTTTTTTTTTTTTTCTGGGTCCAGTCATGGGGCCTGAACTCTGGCCTGGGCGCTGTCCCTCAGCTCTTCAGCTCAAGGCTAGCGCTCTACCACTTGAGCCACAGCTCCACTTCCAGCTTTTTTCTTTTTGCTTACGTGGTGCTAAGGAATCAAACCCAGGGCCTCATGCATGCAAGGCAAGCATTCTACCACTGAGCCACCTTCCCAGCCCCTCAACTGAATTCTTTTGAGTCTGCAAGTCAGTACAACCAGGTTCCAGTTAGGATGATGTCAATTACATCTTTGTAGTAAGATTAGTTTTTTTTTTTTAAACCTTGGGTAGGAATTGTATAGATTATTAAGTATTTTCTATTCTTATTTTGGTTTTGCAACCCAAAAAAGTTTTAGAATTGGTTTTCTTTAACGATAAATTAATATGGAGTCATTTTATATGTAAAATACTCTTGGCTTTAGACATATGTCAACTATTTTTTTTGGGGGGGTGGGGGACAGTCCTGGGGCTTAAACTCAAGGCCTAGGCACTGTCTCTGAGCCTCTTTTGCTCAAGACCTGCACTCTACCACTTGAGCCACAGCACAACTTCTGGCCTTTTCTGTGAATGTGGTACTGAGGAATCGAACCCAGGGCTTCATGCATGCTAGGCAAGCACTGTACCACTAATCCACATTCCTGCTCATGTCAACTATTTTTACGTTGATATTTCCAAGATAATTAGAAACTGAAGAAACAGAAAGTACACTTAGATTAAAACAAGCCATTTGGTAGGACTTAAAACACTGGCTTGCTGGTCACTGTGCCTGTAATCCTAGCTACTCAGGAGGCTGAGATCTGAGAATTGCAGTTCAAAGCCAGCCCTGGCAGGAAAGTCTGAGTCTCTAATCTCCAGTTAACCACTAGAAAACCAGAAGTGGTTCTGTGTCTCTCTTGGTGTAGTGCTAGCCTTGTGCAAAAGAGCTCAGGGACAGAGCCTAGGCCCTCAGTCCAAGCCCCACAACCACCACCACCACCAACAAAACAGTGGCTTGTGTTATTTATTTCATGTGTTTTGGTCACTGAAATTTGTGTTGTTACAGTTTAAAGTTATTTATGGTCCAATCCTTAGTTTACTTTTTGGGCACTACAATAGAGGTTATATTCTCTGGGGTTATATACTGTGACTTAGTAGTCTTTCTATTTTTCTTTTCTTAATTTCTTTTTTTTTTTTTTTTGGCCAATTCTGGGGCTTGAACTATGGGCCTAGGCTTCTTTTGCTCAAGGCTAACACTCTACTACTTGAGTTACAGCGCCACTTCTGGCTTTTTCTCAGTATCTCATGGATTTTCCTGCCCTGGCTGGCTTTGAACTTTGATCCTCAGATCTCAGCCTCCCGACTAGCTAGAATTATAGGCATGAGCCACTAATGTCTGCTGGGAGTTGGTATTTTAAAGTGTTCATGGAACAAAATCATCTTGCAATTTATTATTGAGTGACTTTAGTTAATATAGTGTTCACAGGTATCCTTAAATCATTACTTGTTCAGATACATTGGATTTTAGCATGAACAAATAAGACTTAAAAGTATGTTTCATCAAGGAATATGTTACCTGGTAGCTGTGATATTGCTGGCTGAGATATATTTGTATTGATGTCTTAGGTTTTAGAAGGTGAAGTATTTATGGAGGTTTGGAGCATACCTATAGGACTGGGGCCAGGCCTGGCACTTGAGTGTAAAGTGGATATGAATAAAATACCAGATCACCCTGGTAAATGATTTTATAAACAGAACTCAGCTTGAAGAAGGATAGTGAGGGGCAGTATTTCTTTTGGTCTTGTTCAGAAGGAGTTGAAGAATGGCAGTATACAGGGTGAAGGAGCAGAAAACTCTTAATTATCATTGGGCTTCAGCTCTCTTGTCTGCAGAATCAGTAAAATCTG